CCAGTTCACGATGATTTCCCCTCAAGTTGAGTTTTTGTTCCATCACCTATCGAAAGTTCATCCATCCGTTCCATTGTTTGAGCTGCCATGCTATAACAATAGCAGCTGCAGCACCGTTCGTTCCTAGAACCGGAATCCGATGAGTCGATATCATCAATTGGCTTTGTTTGCTCATTCTGAAAAACGATGAGCTGTGAAGAGTGGGACGCCGACGGAAACCATGAATCATAAGACGAGAGCAGGGCATCATCGATGGGAAATACTCGAAGCGGAAGCAAAATCCTCTCATTGTACTAATTATCCGGCTCTGTGCTTATCCATCGCACTTTGTGTTTCTATCGTAGCCGTTGGATGGGTTTTTGCTGCATTTTAACTTGGGATTTTGCGCTTTGTTGGTGCGCTTACAAGTACCTGCCAAAAACGAAAAGCATTGTTCCTATTTAGATCACAACCCCAGAACTTCACAACCTTTAAAACCATTTAAAAATGCTGCTCGCTTTTCGATTTGCTGGAATTTTACCTAACGTTAGATAACTACAAATGTTGATAGAAGCTACTAGGAAAAGAAACACAAAATTTCAAGTGAAATATGAATATTGCTTCTGAGAAAGTCTAGAATTCAGGGGATTCCTAAGGAGAATTCCTGAGTATTGCTAAGTATTACTTATAACGGAATCCTTTTCCAAATTATGTTTAAGCACTTAACCACTCTTCTTCAAACGAATGAATTGTTGGAATCCTTAACCAACCAAATGTCAGAGTTCTTTCCTTGTTCTGGTTCAATTTGAATAGGATCGAAAAATTACACACCACTGCACCACTCACTCATATATGTAAGGGATTTTCCCCAAACGCGGCGGAGTACGTAGTTTAACATCAAATTGTTATGCTGCACTGGTTTGACAGCGGGTGTGTTGCAGCTTTCAGCTGCTTGTACGCTACGTAATTATTAATATTCGGAAGTTCATTTCAATCTGATTCTCGTTGGTTTTAAACATTCCGGCCGCCAATGAAATGTCGGTGGAACCACCGACAAACTGATATGACACAAAATTCTAGCTTATGCCCGAAAATTGTAAACGGCTGATCAGTGTTGGCAAAATCAGAAATCAATTGATATTTTTCCGCTCTCATGCGCTCGCAATATCACGCGTGATATTGGGACAATTGATTTTATAAGCTCCTTTGATATTGCGAGACTATTCACAACGAGCAAAAATCAAGCTGAGAGTTGACTCGACACAAAAATGATTCCATTGCACATCGTTTTCTTAGAAATAGAAAGCATAGTTTGCTATCTCTTTTTAATCTTCACCGATGGCAGACGCGAAGGGACTACTGCAAGCCGTTATGGAAGTTTCGGTTGCATTCGGGTGTAAAGCAAAAATCATTAAACTCAATCTCACCACAGTTTGGTGAGATTTGAAGTTGGTGAGTTTTGTTAGCTTGATATTCCGAGCTGCGATATCACAGCTTGCAAAATCAACCGGAGTTGTTTGCTTGTTGATTTTTGTCTACGAAAATCAAGCGTGACCTTGGGCATTGGTGAGACTTGATTTTTTGATATTTTCCCAACGCTGCGGCTGATTTAAATGTGCAAGGATGCGAACTGTCAACACCATAGGAGTTTTTGCTCTAGATTGTTATTATATTTTATTTTATTTTATTTCTACAGGCACGCGGGCCCAATGATGGTTAGTTTACACTACTGACTGTCATGTAAAACATATAGTAAAATCTAAAAACTACTCGTGACGATTTGTTCTCCAGGAAAATAGAGGGGTAAATTTTCATCGCAGTAACTCACGTGACATGTGAAAGTCAAACACAGATGCAACTCGGTTGAATAATCTTTGAAGACCGATGATAGCACTATGCAAGCCGTAGTTAGTTCTTATAAGAGGCAATCGAAGCATCTGGTTGTTTCTCAAGAACCTAGGCTGCACATTGATGTTAATTTTTTCCAATAAAGCTGGGCAATGAACTCGATTCTGCAGAACATCAGCGACAAACATAGCTCTTGGAAAGTCGCGACGAGTGTTGAGAGGTGTATTAATGGACAATGGCAGCCTAAAAGGATTACGCCACGGTAATCGCCGAAGTGCGTAGCGAATGAATCTGCGTTGAACTGACTCGATTCACTCAACTCCATTATGATAAAAAGTGTTAAAACAGTTGCGCCATATTCTAATGTAGATCGTGAACGTCAGTGAAATCCTTAGCTAGCCTATAGATAAACCCCAAAGATCTGGAGGCTTTGTCTACCATGAATGAAATGTGTTGTTTGAATGTCAGATGTGAGTCCAAGATAATAAAGGGTGATACGGTCAAAATTTGGTCAATATCAACTTGACGTATTTCTTTCAATTTTGCATTTAAAAAACCTGAACACCCCTCATTTTGAAGGTGTGTGTGTGTGTAGAATGTTGCTCCTATTTTGATTTTGGAATTCACTCTTCAGTTGTCAAAATGCCGTCCAAGCAAGAAGAGCAGCGAATCAAAATTTTGCTCGCGCATCGCGAAAATCCGAGCTACTCGCACGCAAAGTTGGAAAAATCGCTAAAAGTTGCCAAATCAACCGTTACAAATGTAATTAAAGTGTTTGGGGAACGTTTGTTGACAGCCAGGAAGTCTGGATCGGGGGGAAATCGAAAACCGGAAGCCGCTGAGACGACAAAGAGAGTTGCCGGTAGTTTCAAGCGAAACCCTAACCTCTCTCTCCGAGATGCCGCAAATAAGCTGGGTGTATCGTCTACAACCGTGCATCGAGCCAAAAAACGAGCCGGACTATCGACTTACAAGAAGGTAGTGACTCCAAATCGCGATGATAAACAAAATACGACGGCCAAAGCGCGATCCCGGAGGCTGTACACGACGATGCTGACGAAGTTTGACTGCGTGGTAATGGACGACGAAACCTACGTCAAAGCCGACTACAAGCAGCTTCCGGGACAGGAGTTTTATACGGCAAAAGGAAGGGGAAAGGTAGCAGATGTTTTCAAGCACATGAAACTGTCAAAGTTCGCAAAGAAATATCTGGTTTGGCAAGCCATCTGTACCTGTGGCTTGAAAAGCAGCATTTTCATAGCTTCCGGGACTGTCAACCAAGAAATTTACGTGAAAGAGTGTTTGAATAAACGTCTGCTGCCTTTCCTGAAGAAACACGGTTGTTCCGTACTGTTTTGGCCGGATTTGGCATCTTGCCATTACGGTAAAAAGGCCATGGAGTGGTACGCCGCCAACAACGTGAAGGTGGTTCCCAAGGACAAGAACCCTCCCAACACGCCAGAGCTCCGCCCAATTGAGAAATACTGGGTTATTGTCAAGCGGAACCTAAAGAAGACCAAAAAAACTGCTAAGGGCGAGCAGCAGTTCAAGGCAAACTGGCTTTCTGCGGCGAAGAAGGTGGACAAGGTGGCTGTACAAAATCTGATGGCAGGGGTCAAGCGTAAGGCCCGGCAATTCGGATTTGGAAAAGCGGAAGCCTAACTGAATATTTTTCCTGAATTTTATACTAATTGAACTTGAAAAAGAAATTTAATTTGATTTTTTAAATAAACGATTTCACCGATTTACACGCGTTTTCCCTTGACCAAATTTTGACCGTATCACCCTTTACCCAGGTCCTTCACGTGACTTACTCGTTCAACTGAATTACCCGGGAGAGTGTAATTGAACTTTAAGGGCTCTTTTTCGCGAGAGAAGGTGATTATCGAATACTTGTTAGGATTTACTGTCATGCGGTTCAAGTCACACCATTCACTGAATCTATCAATCTGAATTTGTAGCAACATAGCGTCAGCATGCATTTGAATCTTAAGATCATCAGCGAATGACAAACGAAGTTTTTCTAGCTCAAAGTTCACATCATTGAAATAAATTAAGAAAATTATTGGCCCAAGGTGACTTCCTTGAGGAATACCTGAAGTTGCTGGGAAAGCAATCGAATTGCAATCCTCAATAGACACACTGAGTTGGCGTTCGATAAGATACGACTGGAACCACTGAGAAGTGAAAGGCCCGCACTGATATCCGAACAGCTTATATATATAATATTGTGTGTGTGACTTCAAATCTATAATTTGATTTTGGTTTAGTTTTACAAGTTGTTTTTAGGTTAGAATAGAACTTACAATTCAGTGGCGATTTTCGCTCGAATGGCCTTTCTGGTCAGCATTCAACCGCTTGCTGTATAATCCTAAGTAGATGTAATTCTTGTTTAAGTTTTTAAGTTTCACTAAGTCCATCGAATTTACCTTCACTACCCGTAGTAACTATTTAGATTTATGCTAGATGTAAGTATGATTAACTAATTTAACTTTCTATAGTAATTTTTCACCCACGTGTATCTGGTTCAATTCTTTCTTTTTCGTTCCTGCAGACTAACGTTTCGACACAGAGAGTTTGTCGCGCGTAGACTCGCCGCTCGTGTCGTGATGTTCAGACGGCCGGGTTGCCAATTCAATCGTTCAATCAGTCGATGTCCCTGTGCTAACATCCTCCCCCGAGTGCGGTCCGCTGGCCTCAATGACCGCACTGCTACTTGAAACATCGAGTACCACCAGTTTCGATACCGGCCGACGAAGAACTCCCCCTGCAGTCTTGATCATAGCCAGGCGCACGTGACCATCCGGTGCTCTGATCGACTTAATCACGATCTCGCGAGTCCAGCCATTCCGCTTGCCCTCATCCGCTATCAACACCAAGTCTCCATCTTGCACGCACCGGACTTCATCGTACCACTTGGTCTGCCTCCTCATCACCGGCAAGTACTCCTTCAGCCAGCGTTGCCAGAATCGGTTGAGCTGCCGCTGGATGTGGTTCCACAAGTCCCGAGAAATCCCCTGTTGAGGCTCGATACACACGCTTGGCTGTTTGACCCCGTTAGAGCTCCCCAGTAGGAAATGGTTCGGAGTAAGCGATTCAGATTCCGCAGAATCAAGTGGTAAGTACGTGACTGGTCTAGTATTCACAATACCCTCTGCCTCCACGATCACGGTCTACAGCTCTTCATCGTTGAGTTTTCCTTCGTGGTACGCATCCCCTATCGCCGCCTTCACTGAACGGACGAGTCGCTCCCATGCACCGCCCATGTGCGGAGCGCTTGGCGGAATGAAGGTCCACTTCGTGTTGGCACTGGTGAACGTTGCTGATACTCCTTCGTCGATCTGGCCACGAAGCTGTCGTTCAGCCCCGTGGAAGTTCGTAGCGTTATCACTGAAAAACTCCACAGGCGATCCTCGGCGGCAGACAAATCGTCGGATGCAGGAAATACACGACGCAGCTGACAGGCTGTATGCCACTTCGAGGTGAACGTCAACGTCAAGGCACAGTCAAGCAAGTGAAGAGCGCAATCCACCTTTTTACATTCGAGCGGCCCTGCTTGACTAACAATGGGCCGAAGTAGTCCACTCCTACGTAACTGAATGGACGGTCGTGCATGGCCAACCTTGCTGGTGGCAGTGGTGCCATCGGAGGTGCCTTACGAATTTTGCAGAATTGGCAGCTTCGTCCGATCTGCTTTACCACCGATCTGCTTTTCGGTATGATGAACAGCTGGCGGACTTCGTTCACTACCATTTCGGAGTTTGCATGACGGTAGAGCCGATGATAGCGTGAGACCAGAAGTTCCGTGCACCGATGCTTTCTTGGCAGGATTACTGGAAAGCGCACGCTGTGATGAATATCCTTCGCCGCTGCAATCCGGCTGTTTTGACGCATCAAACCCCGTTCATCCATCATTGGCATCAGTTGGTGAACGATGCTCGATCTGTCAATCGATTCCTTCTTGTCTTCCGGTAGCACTTAATTATTCTTCAGCATCGTTACCTCATCTGCAAAGGTTTCTCTTTGGACCTGCTTCAGAACTTCATTTTCGGCATCATCCAGCTCCTGTTGAGTTAATCGACCACTGCGTTTTTCTCCCTTCTTGGTTACGTTGAAAATGAATCGTAGCACGTAAGCCATACTACGCTGCAACCTCTCCCATTTAGAGAACCGCTCGTAGGCAATCACAGGTTCCCAAATGGTGTGAAAGAGTACTGATGATCGAACTTCTACGGCCGTATCCACGACTAGATCCGTAGAATTCGGCCATTCATGTTCCGGAAAGCGCAAGAACTCCGGTCCGTTGAACCACTTGCTGTCGCTACTGAAGTAGGGTCCACTTCCCCACTTTGTTGCCTCATCTGCTGCGTTAGACTCCGACGGAACCCATCTCGACTCATTGACTGTTGTATTTTCGAGAACGGTCGATAGTTTTTCGAATCAGCGCGGATCCACGAAAGCGCAACGGAGCTGTCCGTCCACAAGACTCGTCTTCTGATGGTAATGGAGTGGTTGGCTTGCACGAACTTCATCATTCTTGTTCCCAGGAGACATTCTTGAAGTTCCAGCTTGGGTATAGTCATTGGCTTGAGTGGTGCTACTTTCGCCTTCGCAGCGATCAGTGTGCACTAGGGTGTGCCGTCAGCGGTGATTGTCCTCAGGTACAGCGCACAGGAATACGCAAGCGGACTGGCATCTACGAAGACATGAAGTTCAGTAACTTCATACGAACGTGCTGACGCTTCTGGGAAATAGCAGCGAGGAATGCGATGTACGTTCGCGATGTACGAAATCATCTTGATCCACCTGCACCAGTCTCCATACTGATTTCCACCGACTTCTTCATCCCATGCGGTTCCAGCGCGCCACAAGTCCTGCACCAGAATCTTGCCGTGGATCAGAAATGTGGCCAATAAACCCAACGGGTCGAACAGAGTCATGACGCAGCGTAACACTTGCCTTTTCGTTGGGATTCTGTCATTTTCCAGGAGAGATTGAACTTCATCGCTCATTCGAGTGCTGAACGATAGTTCGTCCGTTACTGCGTCCCACAACATCCCGAGCACACGTTCAGTAGTGGTGCTCGTAGTTATCAAGCTTTTACTGGTAGCTGCTTGAGTCTCCCCAAGGTGCTCCAGAACACCTTCGTTGTTCGAGATCCAGTTCCTCAATTCGAACCCACCGTTCCGGAAAATCTGACGTACTTCCTCAGAAATACAAAGAGCTTCTTCTTCCGACCCAAAGCTATCGAACTTGACTCTTTACAGATGTACCACGAACCACTCGATTCTTCGATCATGGGCCAGGATATCTTCTGGCGACTCATTTCCCCGAGTAAGAACCGTTGGTTTGAACAGCATTCGGCACTACGGTGGCAGGGTCAACCTCGATCGGAAGTAGGCACAACTTGAAAATGGCACGCTTGGTTGTTCCGGAATTGGTTTTTACTTTGGCAACCCGAACTAGCCCATCTATGCCGGGATGGATGGTGATCACGCGCCCGTCTTGGTCGTCGCGAGGTTGTCGAGAGCTTGATTCCAGCGGTAACGGTTTTGAAGCGTAGCCAGGTACTCCTTGTGCCAACGGGAGCTGCTGTACTCGTCTCCATCGGGACAAGCGGGCCTCAGGAACGTCTTGCTGATCGGGATCGGGCATTGCATTCAGCAGTCTGCCGATCAGGAAGTGTTAGAGTGAACCCATCGGATGGCTCGTCTGGTAGCGGAGTAATTGGGCGTGAGTTGAACACCGGCACTAGACCAATTTGCAGTTCGGACTCAGTGACGTGGACATTGCCGAGAATTTTGCCAAGCAGATTCTTGACTGATTTTACGCAGGCCTCCCAGATTCCACCAAAAGAAGGCGAACGTGGTGGGATGAAATGGAACTGGATGCCATCTCACTCTCGCGCTGCTGTGGTAGAAATATTTTTCGTAGCTCTTCCAGCTCCTTATTCGCTCCAACGAAGTTGCTCGCGTTGTCACGGTAAACTTGTGCTGGGTTTCCTCTGCGACTGCTGAATCACCGCAGGCTGGCTTCGCTGGTCAGGTCAAACACAAGATCCAGATGAGCAGCTTTGGTTACGAGGCATACGTAGACCACGATGTACGCCTTTGTAGAAATCGTCCTGGTCGTTGACGGCCGGGTGTTTGCTCACCTGTCTGCAGAAGTTCGTGTCCAGGCTATTTGTTGGGAAATCAATTTCTGTTTATTCGCCAGGGGTTCCCTCAGCAAAAGACGACACGAACTGACCATTTTTTGGCACAATAATTTCAACGAGATTAAGTATTTTATTTATTAAGGAAAACTTCTTACAAAGTTAAAGACAAATCAACTAATTTTTTAGCTCTCTTTTTTTCTTTTTTCTTTTTCACATCCGCTTGCTACGATCTTTATTTTGTGGGGTGGCCTGACGATTGACGACTGCGATACCCGAGTAGAAAAGTTTGGACTGGTAGTGTTAGCAACAGCCTTGAAGAATGGACTGCGCTAGCTTCTTAATGAATTGCGCACGTAGATCGGGCCGGCAAGGTCTATGAGGACATTCAGGAATGGGTACGCCTGGTTGACCCGCACAGGAGGAAGTTGTCCCATCGGCTGCTCGAGTGATTTCGGTTCGGCTCGCACGAACTTCACGCATCGGTGCACGATCTGGCGACCTAAATTCCGGCCACCAAGAAGCCAGAACAATTGACGAAGGGACGAAAGCAGTAACCTCGGTCCTGCGTGGATCGTCTTCTGGTGTTCCTTCGTTGCAACCATTTCGCTCAGTTGGTGCTTGGCTGGGAGAACGATCGGGTACTTCTCCTCAATCGGCATTCGATGAAAATAGCGGAACATGGACTTCCGGTCCATTTGACCAATAATGGAGAGCTGACGGATTTTCTTCTCAAAATGCTGCTCTTGAGCTCGGCGAACTAATGCTAGCAGCTTTTGATCGATTTCAGCTACGGTGAGCGGGCCAACAAGAGGATCTCGGTGAACCGTCGTATCAGCGAACCGATCCAAAGCAGCGGACAAAGACTGGAGTAACGGGAAACTAAATAGTTGGGCGTTTCATCTTCGACGGCTGGAAGAACGACGATATTGCAAGTTTCAGATTCCTTCAACATTAAAGTGAGTTTTCTTGGAGTTCGTTGAGGTTCATGCCCCGAGATATGAGGTCCACTGGATCTCAGCCACACGATTGGACACAAACGTCTTCAACGTAGCCGGTGTTGCAGAGAGCAAATTCAACACGATGGTCGAATCAGTCCTTAAGTAGATCGTGGCGGAAATGTCAACACTTCGCATGGCTTGCACCAGTAGTTTGAAAAGAAGTTGAGCAGCACACAACTCAAAGCGAGGAATGCTTGGACCGACCTTGGATTTGTACATCAAGAGTCGAGCTGAGCAGCATCCAGCAGAAGTGATTGACCGAAGGTACAGACAGACACCGTTCTGATGCATCGTTGAAGCCGTGAATTTCCAGTCGTACTTAACCTGAACTGAGAACGTGTCTAGGAACAATTAGTTTACCGAGAATGGTGAGCTGTTGCTGGAATTCCTGCCATTTGGCAACGACCGCTGATTAGACCGCCTCGTCCCAGATGAGTTGAAGTTTCCATAGTCCTTGGAGCAAAATCTTAGCCTTCGAAATAGTCGGTCCGATGAGACTTAGTGGGTCGAACAAAATACTGACTTGCGACAGGATGTCCCGTTTTGTTAGCGTGGAGAATTCCTTCCACTTCGGTTGCTTGAAGGAAAGCTGATCGGTAGTTGGCTCCCATCGTAGACCCAACGTTGTAATTGAAGCTTCGTGGTCCGAATCGAGTTGCGTTTTTGTTTTCCGGAGTTCAGGAGGAATTGCATTCAAAACGGTTTGAATGTTGGAAGGCCATTGCCGGAGTGGAAGTTCTAAGGTATTTTGAATGGTGGGATCAGCAAGCAGAACGTCGTTCAATGAAAGGTCAGATCTCGTCATGCTATCCATCTTGATCACCGCGTGATGGGGAAGGAAGTAGCAAGGCTTGACATTTAGTTCACCGGGACTGATTTCCCGCATGTGTCCTAACGCCAAGTGGATGGACTTCTGGTACATTGCCTTCTTCTCAGGATCTCTAGCGGATCTCTGGGCTAGCGAGCGTAGAAACGTTGCGTACCATTGTACCAGTTGTCGTCTAGCTGAAGCAGGAGTTCTTCTCGCTTCGAAAGTTGGACAACGTAGCAGCGGCCTTCGAAGTTTTGAGTGGTGTTCTTGAGGACGTGATCTTCGCAGAAACATTCTGGAGACCAGCCTTTTGCCTTTTGGACCTTCTCCAACTGCCAAAAACGGTTGACCAACTCGTCGATCATTCAGGGATTACTGAACTGACAGCTACGTGGATCTTGGTGGTCGTGGTTTGCCAGCGTACATTATCCTGAGACGACCCAACTGAATTCTGCATTCTGGATCAGACGAAGATCGATGCCAAGAGAGATTCGGCATTAGCTGATAACATGGAAGAAGTGTGCAGCGCCAAGGATCATGTCAATGCTTCCGGTGATGGCGAACATGGGAACGAACGTCAACCGAAGACTGCGGCAGTTTCATGGTAAAGGGTGTCCACGATGAAATTGCCACACTATGAAATTGCTCTAACTTTTTAACCGTTGGGTAGAATTTAATGAAAATTTGGGTGGATTTAGTTCATAGTGCATTATTTACATCCTGCAAGTTTTAAAGTCCTGTGATCAAAACTCGCGGAAATGGAGTCGAAAGAACAGCTCGTGCGTGATAAAATCTTGCGCATTCATCACGAGAACAAGGATCTCTCGCATCGTTCCATCGCTAAAACGTTGGGAATCGCGAATTCCACGGTGTCGCGAGTGATTAAGCGGTTCGAGGAACGGTTGACCACCGATCGGAAGCCCAGAAGTGAAGAAAAAAGTATTCCGTACAACACCAAAAATCACAACCGCGTAGTTGGGGCCTTCAACCGAAATCCGAACGCCTCCGTTAGGGATGTGGCTAAGAAGCTGTACCTAAGCCGAAGTTTTGTCCAGAAGGCCAAAACTAAGGCTGGGCTTCGAACGTTCAAGGTACAAAAGGCCCCTAATCGCGACGAGAAGCAGAACAAGTCCGCCAAAACCCGTGCCAGGAAGTTGTACCTCAACATGCTGACGAAAGTTGAATGCTGCATCATGGACGACGAAACATATGTGAAGGCCGACTTCAAACAGATCCCCGGCAACCTGTTTTTCACAGCCAAGGATAAGTTCAGCGTTCCGGAGCATGTCCGCACTCAGAAGATGTCCAAATTTGCGAAGAAATTCCTGGTTTGGCAAGCCATCTGCACGTGCGGGAAGCGGAGTGCACCTTTCGTGACCCAGGACACGATGAACGGACAGGTGTACATAAAAGAGTGCCTCCAGAAGCGGCTGCTTCCTCTCCTGAAGGCCCACAACGTCCCAACAATCTTCTGGCCGGATTTGGCCTCATGCCACTACTCCAAGGACGTGCTGAAGTGGTATGCGGACAATAAGGTCAATTTCGTGCCGAAAATGTTCAACCCTCCCAACACTCCGGAGCTCCGCCCCATCGAGAAGTACTGGGCGATTATGAAGCAGCACCTTCTTAAACGACCTAAGGTAGTGAAGACAGTCGAGGAACTGAAGAAAGTAGGGTTTACATGCAAAAAACGGTTGATTCACAGGTTGTGCAGAATCTTATGGCCGGGGTTAAGGCCAAGGTGCGGGCATTTGCGTATGGACTGTAAATAAAATACGAGTAAAATGGTAAAATGAAGTTTAATAGTTATTTCTCAATCCCTGAAAATTTGATGGCAATCGGATGAAAACTCGAATTTTGCGAATCAATTTTGTGTGTGGCAATTTCATCGTGGACACCCTTTAATCGACGGGAGTATGAGCATGGAACTTTTCATGGTGAAAGGCGGCATCCGGGAGGAGATGGTAACGGATGTTTCGTGTTCCACGATCGTGGTGGTGTTGCCAATTCCACTGGTGGTAATCGGCTGAAGAAGTCGAGTGCGAGGAAGTTGAAGCTTTTCGCACAATGCTACAGAGACGAAGTTTCGTTGGAAGAGAGACGGTTCCTGCTTGGGATTGTGAGACCTGAGCATATTGCGAATTCCCAGAAGTGTCGTGAACACTGGAAGCTTGATTTACAGGAGCAGGAACATTCGGAACATGTTGGAAGCAGACTTGATATCACTGCTATCCGTATGAAGCAGCGTGTGGTGTATTATTGAGCAAACACGGCATAGGGCAGTTTCGAGCAAAGTGGGAAGAGCAACGCAAACAATTCATCCATAATTTTTTCTGCCTTACCAGATCAGCCCATTGACCAACATCTAGTTCCTGAAATCCGGACAGTGGTACAGGTAATGCCCTTGAACACATCGTTCACACGGCTTCTCCGACTTGCTGGAGCTGAAATTTCCTGAGCTGGATGCGTTCTTCTGCGTGGTAACTGGAAAGGCGGCTGACTTTTGCAAAAACTTGTGCTTGTTGCGAAAAGCTGTGGACACTGCAAACAATACTAGAGCATAATTCTGGAGGAAGTTGACCATCTTGACGTGGGATGGCATGGAATTCGAATCATGTGCAGGGGCGCTGAACCGGTTCCTCCCAGAACTGAAGCAATGTTTTCATTGTCGAGTCGTGCACAGTGGTTCTCCCA